GTTGTCAAGGACAACTTTGAACCTTGATCCTTCTTCTTCCACCTCCTGAGAGCTAGGATGTCTGGTGTGTACTATCATACCCAGATTCAAACCCAAGGCATTATGAATGCCAGGTAAACACTCTATCGACTGAGCTACAGTCCAGCTCAGATCTTCACTTTCAAGAGCTAATAAATTCACTTGATTTTGCTCATACTCATTCTGTCTTCTGCAACTTAAATAGTCCCAAAAACACCCAGTGAGGATTTCCAGTGAGGATCTCAGAGGCAGCTTCCTTCTCAGAGCACATAAGCTGGGGAGAGCCTCGGCGGACAAGCTGGAGCCTCAGCAGACTAGTCACCAACTGAGCTGCCCCTGAGTTCAAGACTGTCTCTTTTTGGTTCTGGGACTCTGTTGAGTGAAGGAGCTGCCACAGCTTGTACACCCCCCCTCTCAGGCCAGGAAGGATTGAATTACTCAGTGATTGTAGTAATTATTCCGTCCAATTGATCAGTAATAGCTGCAATTCTTAAGCTTGCCTTTCCATTAATAATCTGCAAAATATTTATTGCTTACATTTAAACAAAACAGGCTGATAATAAGACTATTGAGCTGCATCTCCAGGGTCCTGGATATTTACACAGTGGCACATGTTTCAGTTCTATTATTTATGTTGTTCTGTTCTTTAGTAAAGGGAAGAGGTTTATTAACGCAAAACACAATGATCACAATTCTGAAAGTTTCTTGAACTGTGACTAGGTTGCTGGGGGAAGGCATAGAGAATTCAGCGATTGATTGCATATGTCTGCCACTGGCAGGGGCAGACTGAGTTATGGCACGTGTGCTAGTATTCATCATCTCTGGTTTAAGTATTGGACTTCCTGTTGTTGCTATTTTCTTAGGATTATTCTTCCTGAGCAGGCAAGGAGGCATGACCCACTTTTATGCAAATGGAGGAGGACTAAAAGGGACCCCAAACTACTTTGAGTGTTTCCCATGGAGACACGTAAAACGCAAGATAGGGGCTCCTATACTACTGACCAAGTCTGGCTGAAGCACTAACCACAGACAATCATCTCGAACCCGGGGCCTTGTGCTTGCTAGACAAACACTACCACTGAGCTAACCCCAAACCCTCAGGTAGGCTTCTGGTGGTATCTAGGTAAAGTGATGCAAGCTCTGACCTGTGTCGCCCCCCTACCCACTGGTTCTGCCCCCATCCCTACTCACTGGTTCTGCCCCCATCCCTACCCCCCCCAGCCTCCCCATCTTGCTGGGAAGGTTACCAACAAGATGCAACCAATTCTTTTTGCACTGTACCGTAGCCTGGATTAGAGGCTGAAAGACCGTCCTCAAGTCACTCCTCTGCTCCAAACTTTCACATTTACCTGAAATCCTCCCTGGACACTTCCTCTTCCTCTCTCTGCTGACCTAGAGGATTAAGGATCACACTCCTCCTCCAGCCTACACCCCAAGTGACCCCATGACCTGGTTTCCATATTTTGAGTTATGAACCCTCCCTACCCCACGCTGTGCCCACTTCCCCTCCTCACTCTGGGTCCCTCCAGTTGACACACTTGTCATGTCATCATGCAGTGCTTCAGTGTGTGGGATTGATGACTACAAATCTGAACAGTTCACACCCCTGGTCCACAGGCTGGTGCCAGCCCAAACAAATAGCATTTATGTTTCTAAATACTTCCCATTGGGCCAATGCCAGCCCTAGCTGGTGACTTTTTGTCTATTCTCTTAAATCTCCACATTTCCCAGGCCATGTGGAAACCCTGGGGTGGGGGAATCTTCACAACCCCCATGGCCACAGCCCTTTCCCCAAGTAGCCATTTGCCCTTCATGATTTCTTGGTGATGTCCTAAGTGACTGACCAGAGGTTACCTACGACTCTACTCAAAAGGGCTGCAGTGGGTTCTCTCTAACCCTGGGGAGTTGAGATTGTCTGTCACTTGGGCTGAGGTGAGGAGGCCTCTGATGCAGGTGACACTCTTGGACTGAGGGTGTACCTCAGTGGAATAGCACTTGCCTGCTACACAGGATGCCCTGGGTTTCATCAACAGCATCCTTCTCTATCTATCTATTTATCAACCTCATAGGAGGTTGCTCAATAGAAAAACAGGCCAGTGTTCAGGGAGAGGCAGAGCTGTCTCCCAGAAAATGCTCACAGGTGCCCCTTTGCTTTCTAATAGGAGCCCCACTTTTCTTGAGAAGGTCTTCTTCCCATGTGACAGGGGGCTCATCCGTTATCCATCTTACATCTTACTGACTTAGCAGGAGACCTAGCTAGGCAACCGAGCTCCCCATGGAGGAGGATGGGAGAACCATCCAGCAAGGCAAGGCAAAGAAGACTCTGAGCAACACCATGGCCCCCTCGGATTAGATGTTGGCAGCTGTCTTCAGCCCTTGGAGGGAACACTCACAATGAAGACAGGGATCGGGAATGGAGGAGTGGGCAGATGGGAATTCTCAGGGCCTGCATGCACTGTGGAGGCTGTAAAGAACCCGCCAGGGCCATTCTCTCTCAGAACTTCCTCCTCCTCAGGACTTGCTCTCTGTCAGGACCTCTTCCCACAGAATCTCTTCCTCCCCCTCTTCCTCAGGACACTCTCTTCTCCAAGACTTCCTCCTCCTTCAGGACTTCCACCCTCTCTCAGAGCTTCTCCCTTTCAGACTCCCCTCCTCATTGGTGACCTGTGTCTGACTTCAGGGCTCCCTTCCTCCTTCGAGAACTCTGGTTTTGAAGAGAATTCATTTTCCTTGCCGAGTGGGCAAGACTGAGACACAGTCTCCCCTCAGGGTTGAAGACACCCGCCCTATGACATAGGGACAAAGGACAGGAGGGCCTGGGAGAGCTGAAAGGGGCAACTGCTTCCCAGCGTTTGGTCTCTCCCTGCGGCCTTCCCAATGAGACCTCCTTTATGGAGACAGAGACAGAGAGAGAGACAGAGAGAGAGAGACAGAGAGAGAGAGGGAGAGAGAGAGAGAGGGAGGGAGAGAGGAGAGAGAGATTCCTATGTGGAACCCACAGCCCACAGGCCCTTAGAGCTCGGTGACATCTTTTCCCTTTCTCTCACACCCCCGCCTCGCTGATTTCACACCTTCATGCTTCCACTCACAGCACCTAAGTCACTGTTTCCAGCCCAACCTCCTTTTGATACAGTCTCTGCTCTTCTAATCACCTCATAGGATTCCCCATCCCCTGCTGGTGCCACCATCTCCAAGGGTCACAAGAGACAGGTCCCACCCGGTCCCCTGCTAGGTTTGTGGGGATGAAAGCTTCCTTTTCTGGGTGGGGCTGGGCTATCAAGGCCGGGAGTGGAGGAGGTGGAAGGGCGGAGCAGGAGCCTGATGCTGAGGGAGGAGGGAATCTGACCCCAGGAGAAAATCATTATCTAAAACAACAAATGGAGGCTGCTTTGCTTTCATGGCAGCCTGTTGTTCGAACGAACGAGACGACTGACAGGGAGGCGGTCAATATTTCACGACGTGAGAGGCAATGGGGGGTGGGGACAATAGCTTGTCAGAAATCAGGAGCCCACTGCATGGCAGAGCACACCCTGCCACTTGGAGCAGGTCCCTAGTCCACAGGGGCCTCGGCACTCACATAGCCAGAATGAGGAGAGTCGGTGTGAACGGCATGGACATTTGCTGGGGCGACCCTAACAGGACACCACAGACCAGGGCTTATGTGTTGAAGACTCATCCTCTCATGGTTCTGGAGTCAGGACTCCCAGGGCTGCTCCCTGAGGCCTCTCGCTTTGCTTGTTCATGGCAACCAGCTCCCTATGTCCTGCCATGCCTCTGTGTCACCCCTCGGTGTGTGACTGTGCCCTAATTTCTCACATGGACATCACACACCTTGGATTAGAGCCCCTGTATTAGTCAGGGTCCTCTAGAGGAACAGAACTCACACACACACACACACACACACACACACACACACACACACAGAATATATATATATATATATTATTAATAAAGGGAATTTATTAGAATGGTTTACAGGCTGAGGTCCAGCTAGTCCAACAATGGCTATCAATGGAAGATCCAAAATCCCAACAGTTGTTCAGTCCATGAGGCTGGATGTCTCAGCTGGTCTTCAGCATATGCCAGAGTCACACAGAAGAAGGTTGTAGTGCCAGTGAAGGAATGGATTGCTAGCAAGAGTGAGAGCAAGGGGGGGAGAGAGAGAGAGAGAGAGAGAGAGAGAGAGAGAGAGAGAGAGAGAGAGAGAGAGTCCTTCTTCCACTCTTTATACAGGCTTCCAGCAGAAGTTGTGGCCCAGATTAAAGGTGGATTTTCCCACCTCAAAGATCCAGATTAGATTTAATTAAGAAAAAAATCCCTCACAGGTATAGCCAGCCATTTGGGTTTTAGTTAATTCCAAATGTAGTCAAATTGACAACCAAGAATAGCCATCACAACCCCCATAGTGACCTCATGTTCAACCTTGAAAGATCCTATCCCCACGCTCAGTCACATTCTGAAGCGTGTGTGGAGTCAGGGGGTCAGGGTTTCAGTGTGTGAATCCTTGGGGGACGTACCCAAGCCTGCGATGGTTCTAAGGATGCTGTGTAGCTCACCTGTCACTTCCACCCCTGATCTTGGTGGAGGCTTTCAGGGCTTCACATGGTCAGACACAGCTCAGAATCCTGCTGGCTACTTCTTCTACCCCACACACATGTTCATTTCCTTTCACAGTCCATCACGGGATAGCTCACGGCCCTTTGTCTCCAGCTCACTGTCCCCGGCACATGTTGGTGGAGTCCAGGTTATTCTATGTTCATTTCATCTCCAGTCGTTCCCATCCTATTTCTTGGCATGTCTCTCCCCCACATCCAACTGCCAGGGCTTCCTCCCCGCCCCTCAGCCCTTCTCCAGGTGACGTTATAGACGACCCCGCTGTTCCTCCTTGGTGATCCCTGAATCCATCAGGGCCAGGCCATCTCTGTTCCCCCCAACCCAACCTTCACTGTTTCCATGTTTCTTACCTCTGGCCTTTGTTCCAGTGGGGATGCCACCTTCGAGGGAGCCCTTCTCTCCATTTTGAAAGCCTGTCTTCCTTCATTCAAAGACCACAGAGCCCACTGGGTCAGTATGTCCAGCTTGCTGGGGTGAAAATGAGTGCTCAACTTGGTGTTCCCCGTGCTCCCTCAATATGCAGCAGATTCACTGAGGCAGTGGACAGCCCAGAACTGCATTTGCAGCTTCAAGAACAAACCCAGCTGTGGTGCTAATGGGAACCCATGGAATGCATTCCATTTGCCACGGCTGCTTCCAGGCTGGCAGATGGAAATGGGCTCTAGTGACAGCCAGATGATGTGGCGCTTGGTATCGGCAGATGGGAGCAGAGGCAATGACTTAGCTAAGTAACCTCAGAATTCCCAAAAGCCACTGAGGGGAAACAGTTAGGTGTGGAAGGCAAAACAGATGATCCAGTGCCATCCCATGTGGTTCCTGGACCAGCTGCCGCAGCATCCTGTGTGTGCTGGGTGGAGTCCATATTCAAGGGCCCCAGGATCCTCCTGAGTCTGGACCTCTGAGAAGTGGCAAGAAAGCTGTCTGCAAGTTCCAGGGGATCCCCAGCAGCATATTAGAATGAAGGTAAAGGACACACACACACACACACACACACACACACACACACAGACAGACGGATACATGAATGGTGGATGGATAAGAGAATAGACAAGTGAGTGGCCAGATGGATGATGGATGAGAAGATGGATGAATGAATATCTGGATATATGGGAGATGTATAGGCTGTCTGGATGATGGATGTGTAAGTTGATGGAAAACAGAAGCATGTATCATGGGTGTATGTATGAGAGAACACATGGGTGAATGGATGGAAGAGTGAGCTGGATGGATAGATGGATAGGAGAATGGATGGACAGATGTGTGATTGTAAGTATGGGAGGATGGATGGGTGAATAGATGGGAGAATAGATGTATGGATAGTAGATAAATATATGGGAGGATAGATGGATGGAGGGATAGATGAGGGATGGATGGATGGATAGATGGATGGATGGATGATGGATGAGTAGACAGATCAATAGATCAACCTTTTTATTTCTAAAGCACAGGCTTCATGACTATGGACTGGTTGGTCTGAAGCCTGTAGGGAAGGCTGGGAACTCAGACAGAATTTTTACATAATAGCCTTGAGGCACAATTATTTCCTTTTTCAAGAAAATAGTTTTTAGTATCAATGCCTTCAACTGGTTGGAACACACACACACACACACACACACACACACACACACACACACACTTCAAGACTGATCTCCTAGACGTAAAGTCTACATTGTAGATGTTAACCCACCCACTAAACACCTGCAGGGCAATGGCTAGCCTAGTGTTTGGTGGGACATCAGTGCTACAGCCCAGCCAAACCGACATGAACAGTTAACCAATTTAGGGGTACTCCAGTGACTTAGAGGCATTAAGATGTGGCTTCTTCTGGGTTCCAAGTCGGCCGTCAATCAATGGCCTTTTGATAATTTGAAGTAGATTACTGAGCCTTTGCATATTGTCATTAGCCCCCCATTGGCTGCTTGCAAGGTTTTTGGTTTGAACTAGAGGGGCAGTTATGAGTGTAAATCTACCTTCTCAGACTTCCTTGATGCCGAATACTACAGCTTCTGTTATGATTCCCCTGCCCTTCCCGGAGTCCTAGGAGGCTCACCTGCCAGGAATGTACCAGTGGTCCCTCTTCCCACTGACCTTTGACCTCTAGTTGTGTTGAGCTTCCCTGGGGGGGAAGACAGGATGTCCTTGCTGCTGCCAAGTGCCTTAGACCTGAAGTTGCAGCTCTCACTGACTGTCCCCCATCTCTCCCACTGCTACATTTTCCTGGGGACACTGGGAGGAGGCAGGTAGCAGCTTCCAGCCCCCCCCCCCAGGGCCTAAAGTATCCCTTTGCATTTCTCATAATCCAAGCCAAGCCCCTGTAAACAACTCTCCTACTGAACTCCTCTCAACTCACCCAGTGTGTCAAGTCAGTTCTTGGTTAGGACCCTGAACATACTGTCCTGTATTACTTGCTGCTGAGCTCGGATGCTGCCCATTGATCAAAATTGAAAGCTAAAATACAAGACATGGGAACAATTTAAATCTTCTTAGCTGCTGGATAGGTAAAGAAAATATTGTGGTACATTTACACTACAGAATACTATTCAGCCATAAAAAAAAAAATGAAACTCTATCACATGCCACAGCATGGATGGAACTGAAGATCATGATGTTAAGTGAAATAAGCCAGGCACAGAAAGACAAGGGTCACAGGGTTTCAGGTGTGCAATATAAAAGATGATGTTATTGAATCTCAGAGAAGAGTAGTGGTTACTAGAGGCTGGGGAGCATTGGGGGGAGGGCGGGACAGGGAAAAGATGCCTGATGGGCGCTAAGTCACTGGTATGCTACTGCATGTAGTGTAGAGGATAGCAGTAGATAGTGATGGGGTTAACTCAGCAAGCTAGGGGAAAGGATCTACAATGTTCTCACCACAAATACACATTTGAGTCTCTACAGATGTTTAACTCAATTACTATATATACACACAGACATTTATACATGCATGCAGGTAGCAAGCATCATGTGGTGTGCCATTAACATGTACAATTTTTCTTTACACATATATATGTGTGTATGTGTATGTACATGTGTGTGCCAATGCCCATGAAGGTCTGAGGTTGATGATGAATATTTTCATTGATCACGCTGCATCTTATATTGTCAAGGCAGGGTCCTTACTGAACCCAGAGTTCACTGTTTGGGCTTGTTCTAGGGATGGCCTGATTCTACCTCCCTTGCTGGGATGATGTGGATTCTGGAGACCTGAACTGTGGTTTTCATGCTTGGGGGACAAGCATGAAGCCATCTTCCCAGCTTCATGTACAATTTGTCAAAGTCTCAGTAAAAAAGTAAATTCAAGATAAGGAGGGAGGGACGGAGGGAGGGAGGGAGGGAGGGAGGGAGAGAGAGAGAGAGAGAAAGAGAGAGAGAGAGAGAGATTGATTTTCACCACGGGGCTGAGTTTGAACACCCAAACACAATGCTCAAAGACTTCTCTACACAGCAATGAAGCCAGGAGGACGGAGGCACAGGAAGAGGAGATGATGCTCTGTATGGAAGGAGTTAAGCTCCGGCAGCCAGGCTGGCCCACACAGCCCCTTCAGCAGCTCTCTGCCAAGATATTTAAAATGAAACAGCTGTGCATGAGCAACGCGGAGAGCCGTTCCAGCTCAGAGCACGGACAGGATCATTCATGCCCGCGATTTGACGGGCGGCATAATTGCTCTAAGCCCTATTATCTTCCCGAGCAGTTGTTCAAGGGTCATCAGGACACCTTCAATGAAAGGCTAAATTCTTCTATATACACAATTTTAATAATTACAGCCTTCCTTTCCTCCGATTTAGAAATGCAAAATTCTGTTCTAAGGAGAGGCGCCAGGCCTTCAGGCCGGTGTCTGGGGCCTCTGCAGCCAGGCGTGGAGGCCATGATGCTTCTCCCATTTCCTTGGGAACCTCCTGACCAATTACTGTTTGCCGACTGTGTTTGTGTGCGTGTGTGTGTGCATGTGTGTGTGTGTGTGTGTGTTTGTGTGCGTGTGCATGTGCGTGTGTGTGTGTGTGTGTGTGTGTGTGTGTGTGTGTGTGTGTGTGTGCGTGTGTGGTGTGTGTAGATGTTCTGTGTGCACATGTCTACATGCATGTGTATGGAGAGGCCAGAAATGGACATCAACTGTTTTGTTTGGTGGCTCTCCACCTATATTTTGAGAGAGGGTCTGGGACTCACAGAAACAGCCAGCCTGGCTGCCCAGCAAGGCCTTGGGATCTGCCTGTCTCTGGGATAACAGGTGTGTGTGCCACCATGCCCAGCTTTTTACATGGGTGCTGGTGATCTGAACTCAGGTCCTCACGCACTTCATTGACTGAGCCCTCTCCCCAGCCTTGTTTGCTGATATTATATTTTCTTTCAGGTGCAGAGGCAGAGAGAAGAGAGAAAGACATGGCAGCCAACAAGACCAGCCTCTGCAGATATCACCAAATACCTGCCGTGCATGTGGTGGCCAGTGTTTCAGAGCCTGGGACCAAAAGAGAGAGCAGGCAGGCAAAGGTGGCTGGAGACACATCGTGTCATAACACACCTTTGTGTCTGTAGTGTGTGGAGGAGAGGACAAAATCATCTAGGTCATCACTGCATCTGTGGCGAGCAGCCCAGATGGAGGAACTCGGTTGGATGTTCATATAACTTGTTGCCATTTTGATTTCTGAAGCCATGTTCTGTAGGCCTGGCTGGCGTTAAACTCAGGATCCTCTTGACTCAGCCTCTGGAGTGCTGGGATGACAGACATGTTCCACCATGCTCAACAGTGTGGCTGTTTTACAGGGTAGTCACTATGGGTCCCAAACCTGTCTGAACATTGGGCTGTTGCCATGAGGGAAGCCTGACAGATAGGGAAGGAGGCCATGAACAAACAAGATGGCATCCTTCTGTCTGCCTCTTAACCCAGACACAAGACTTTGCAGGATTCTCTACCCTCACCGTGGGCTCCCTCAGCTGACCTGACCGGACAGGTCTTGGGCACGGGCTGTAAGTCAATCAGAGTACTTTGCTTCATCTAATTGGCCAATTTGAAATGAGGGGAGGGACCCATCCCAGGCCACCAGTAACACTTAAAAACCCTCAAAGAAAACATTTTATTTTCTGAATCTGCTCTCCACTCTGCGGGGAGTCTTTCTCTCAGTGTGCCTTCTCTCTCTCTCTCTCTCTCTCTCTCTCTCTCTCTCTCTCTCTCTCTCTCTGTGTTCATGTGCATACGTGCACACATGTGTACACACGTGTCCACTTTATTTTAATATGTTTGTTCTCTATTTCTGTGTGCTATGCCTAATGTTTTCCCTGCCTTTTAATTCTTTTCTTGGCAGAAAAACAAACTCGATCAAGACCCCAAGATGGAAACATCCACACCTTAGCAGAGTCAGCCCTTGCCTTCTTGAAGCTCATCACGGTGATGTTGGAGTTCAGACTCACTTTAAGCAAGTCCTTTACGTGTGTGTACAAAGTGTGCCATCACAGAGGAGAGCCTGGGGCTTCTGGATCAACAGCCAGCATTAGCAAGTGGGTGTTTAGACAGCTTAGTCAGGGCTTGGGGGCTCACTGCCCCAGTGGGACAGTAGCAGCACCCACTCAGAGGCAGGAAGGTGCCCTCTAAAACTCCAACTTGGCCACTGGCCAGTCACTGTAGCTTGGGCAAGTTGCCTCTCCAGACCTCAGTCTTGCGTCTAGAAAGTGGGAATGCTGTTATTCAGTTCTCAAGGTGCTGGGGATGGGTGGAGTCCAACAGCCTCCATATGCTTCCCCTGGGGTCACATCCCATGCTGTGGCTTCTCCATAAGGGTGGGGAGCCAGATAAACATGGTTGAATCTGTAGCCTGCTTACCTCCATTCATGCACTGAGATGACAGCATGACTCTGTCATCTCATGGAATAGTCCTATCTGTATCTCTTTGTATCATCTACAGTCTATGTATGTATTTGGGTGTTTACACATGTTGCTGGTCTCATCATCCATCCCCTGCTGACCTTTGCATCAATATCCTGCCTGGTATCTACAACTGGAGGCATTCTCTTTTCAGGGGTGCAGAAAACTCACAAGATGTCCTTGGGGAAGCTTCTAGACTTTGAGTGTGGTCTCCAGATGACAATCAGCACAGTGCAGGGTCCCCGTTCAGACAACTCTAGTAATAATTCAAAGGAACACTGAGGGAACTCTTCCCCAAGCTCACCTCCAGATGAGAAGATGGCTGGCCAATACCAGGACCACAGTCAGATACCAAGCTTGAGCAGAGACCAGTAGAGGCCCTAGGACTCCTGCACACAGACCCTGGGTTACAATGTGCATGTGATGCTTTAGGCCAGATACCAGTGGTGACCTGGTAATGGCATTTGCTGTGTATAAGCATTTCTTCCTGGAGGAAGACTGGCTAAGAATCAAGACAGCAAAGGAAACACACAAGTCTTAGGAAGTAAACGAAACTCATAAGGTTCAGGAGGCTTATGAAACTTACAGGATTTACAAGGCCCCTCTCCAAGATTGTGGGTGCTAATCAGCTAGGCTGCCTGTGAGTCCTGCAGGAAGCTGTAGGGATGCTGCTTTCATGAACCATCCACCTCTCATATTGGGGTGGACTTTTTGGTGATACAGCTGATTTTGAGTCACACATGCTCCTATACATAAGCCCCATAAACCCACTGATTCACTTAGGTGAAGCTAGAATTGGTTATGAACATTTCTTTGGTTTGGTGGTAGTGCCTTATTCAAATCTCCCCAAGAAATATCACTCAACAGTTGTAGAGGATGACAGATCCCTGGTGGAGGGTCTGCCACACACTGATTTCTAAAACATGGAAGAAGGCAGGTGGGCTAAGTCACCCTGACCTCTGGGTGCCCTCCTCAAACCCATAGAAGCAAGGGTTCCAAGAGGCTCTGGCTTTCTACAAAGTCGGTCTCACTAAGGTGCCTGACTTTGGAATGAGAAATGCCTCTGAGAGCCTCTCCAGAAGGGCAGACACTCCAAGCTCTGGGCTCTGGGCTCACAGGCTCCAAGGCTTCTAGATGGTACCCCCCTCATCTGTCAGGACTGGGGACAGCGGTCAAGAGCTGTAGCTGTCTCTCTCCCCGTTCCCGCCTGATGTTGAGCTGAGTGGAGACTCTCGGGCCCTGCATGGCGTTGAGGAAGCAAAGCTCAGGCTTCCCTGTCTGCCTTGAATGACACATGCCACTGCCAGGTTCTGCCAGCCCCTTCTGTCCCCAGGAAGGGGACCAGTGTGCGTTCAGAGTCTGCAATTTACTTTCAGTAACACGGCTGAAGTGGTTTCTGTGTCCCTGAGAGTCAGGAAGTGACTCCTTCCTTGCTTCCCACATGCATTCGTACTCCACCCAAACCCATTCCAATTAACCCAGAACCTCCTGGGCCCCCAGTTTTGTCCTCATCACGGGGAATCCAAGATTAATTCCAGAGACTTGCTGGAAGACTAGCATTCCGATTATTGTCAAGAATATTACAAACGGGGGTTGGGGGTGAGGGCTGGGGAGCTGGCTCAGGTGGTAAAGTACTTGACATGCCAACATAAGGTCCTGATGCTGACCCCTAGAACTCATGTAAAAAGATGGACTTGGTGACACATGCTTGTGATCCCAGTGCTGGGGAGCTGGAGACAGGAGGACCTCTGACATTCTCCAGCCAACCTAGCCTACTTGGTGAGCCCTGGCCTCAGGGAGAGGCCCTGTCTTAACAATGTGGGTGGCTTCTGAGGAACCACACACCCGAGACTGACCTCTGGCATCTACATACATGTACACATAGACACACGTGCAGCCCCCCCCAACAATGTACCTGACCTCCTTTCCCCCAAGAAAGCATACCTTGAACAAGTTCCACAGTGTAGAAAGCAGGACTGTGCAGGTACATGGCACATCCCATTTAATCCCTTCTATTCTGGGTGACTACAGCGGTTCCTGTGAGGTGTTCTGGACAGTGTCTAGCACCCAGAATGGCTTCCTGCTCAAGTAGAGGACTTCCCTGATTGTGGTACCCACTGTTGTGACCTCAGCCTGCATTGTGTGACCCTTCCAGTGACCTGCAGAACACTGCTCTGGGATTTTACTGCTGTGTGGGGGGAGGGGTCTGAACAGGCCTCACAGGCTGACCTATGACACAGGCAACTGACAGTCCAGGGCTCACTGCCGGGTGTGAAGGACTCACGAGGTACCCACCTTACCCCCTGGTGGTCTGCTGGATTCAAGTGGCTTTAGAAGGAGCAGGTGCCAGAAGCCTGTGGAGCCAGGGCCACTGACAGCGTATTCACACTCTGCCCCCGACCAGACCAGGCTGGTCCAGTTGTCCGCAGCTTCTCTTCCTGGACAGGGAGGCTGGCCTCCTGTGGTCTGAAGACCTGACAGAGGCTGGCAGTGGGGAGCAGGGAAGACCCAGCCATCGACGGGATTGCCACATTTGTTCTCTTGCTGTCACAGGACAGGGTCGCCTCAGCTCCAGAGAAAACATGCCCTGGCCATCAGGGTTGAAGGGCCTTGATGAAGTGTGCTCCCAGGGGCTAGTGATGCACTTTGTACAATACACACACAGCAGGGTGGGTCCCAATGACCTCTGCGCCCTGTGACCTCTGCGCCCTGTGACCTCTGAGCCATCGATGCAGAATCTGCCACCCCAGAGCTCTCAAGCAACTGCTGATTGGTTTTGCTCTCAAGCCTGCTGAGTTGGACAGGTGGGTGGGGATGGCCTGTTATAGCTACACACGGTGGCTGGAAGATGCACTTGCCAGAGAGCTCAGTCACCCAGCTGTCCACTGAGACGCTTTCCCTGTGGTCCTCTGTAGGCTGGGATTTCCTTCCAACCTGGTGCCTGAGTTCCAGTGTGGTAACCCAGAGTCTGAGGCCCCAGAATGCATTTCTGCTCCATGCAATGTCTATCATCAGTGAAGCTAATCTAGCTTCAAGGGGAAGAAATAGCCTACCTCTCCATGGGAACAATAACAAAGGGTGTGTGGCCATCTTCAGTCATCCACATCCATTCTACGGATGAGGAGTCGGAGGTCTCAGTGGCCTCCGGGACTTTCTCAGACTGAGCAGCAGAAATCCAAACCAGAACTCAAATCTGAGTCAGCTCCAAGAACCAGCCCTTCCGACTCAGCAAGCTGATGTAGACGGTTGGTTGGCTTTGCTAACAGGGCGTACCTTCAGAAATAGGCCCAGCAAGGCCATTAAAAATAAGGCAGTGTTTGAGTTTCCTAAGATGGTTTGAATTTCCCAAAGCATTCCATTTCTCTCTGAAAGCCAAACTTGGGCTGTCTACACGGGCAGCTAAGACTTCATCGGAGCAAACCTCAGGCTCAGGCGAAGAATGTGAGGTGGAACAGAGAGGCAGTCCCTGAACCTGAACTTCCCTTCTCCTTGTCAAGCATTTTTATGTCAGTGTACCTTCACTGAACCAGCTGGAGACAGGGTTGTGCCTTGTGCGTAAAGAAATAGGTGCAGGCTGGGTGGTGGTGGTTCACACCTTTAATCCTAGCACTTGGGAGGCAGAGGCAGGCAGTTCCTGAGGAACTACACAAGGAAATCACCTCAGGGTTGAAGGGGATTGAAACCTCGCTTGGACCCTGCTCTCCAAGACTGTGTCCTCTGCAATCTGGGTGCCAGCCATGAATTTATACAAAGCGGCCAGCGGAGCCCGGCTGGCCCCAGGAGACATGTAACTTCCAAGCAAAGGCATCTGAGTATTGCAAGGAAAGGCTGAACATTTCAAGGGAAAGATAGAGAAGAGGATTTCACAAAACCCAGCATCTCTTCTAACTACATATATTTTGGGACAGGGTCTTGTGTGTCCCTGGCTGGCCCCCACACACTGGTCAACTGTTTGTAGATACTAGTACTTGGACTAGGGGAGGGCTTTGCCATTGCCTCAGCCTCTCATTCAAGGAAGGCTTTGCCACTCCCACGGGTCTGAGGCACTGGGGTCCTTGACATGGCTGGGCCCATGTCAAACACTCAGGGCTTCATGAGCTCTTTATACATTCACTCAATAGTGAGACCCTGACTCAAAACCACCACAACCCCCCAAACCAACACTAAAAACAAAGCATGCCTTCAACATGGTGACATTTAAAAAAGATGTTGAAGATTTGATGCCATTGTGTGTAATGGGACTAGGGGTGTTGCTCAGCGGTAGAGTGTGTATGCTTGACATATGCAGGATTCTGGGTTCCACCCTCAGCACCAAAATAAATAAACAAGGAAAGGAAATAAAAAAACAGTACAAAAATGAAAACTGAGCCACAAAGCACTGCATATTAATTCTTATCAGCCAACTAAGCTTTGAAATGGAGTCATGTAAAATACCAGTTCACTATTGGGTCTTGCAAAAGCCATGGCATTGGTACCAGGTACCGCTAAGTAGTTGGGAAAGCTGCGTTCCCAGGGTATGAGTCTGAATGGTTTTATTCCTTCTCTGACATTCCCACCCTCCTATGATTTATTTGTGTAGAGTCATCTTGTGAATTTTCCCTGGAATGAGAGTCAAAGTCTGGGGCTTGATTTATAGAGAGGTTCAACACATTTGGAAACAATGAACTCTGTTGCATAAACACATAAGAGCCAGGACAGAAAG